GTGGGGAGTGGTAGATGCCCTTACACCACKCTATACATCTCTCCTGACACCTCAATAACCTCAGCTCTTTCCCACGCAGCCCCTGCCCTCCTGCGTGTGCAAATACCCTTCCAGCACCTCTATTTCCCCCATCTATCCTCTACTCCTCCACAGGACCCCACGTTCCCCTGCATCTGCTCCCCCTTTTACCAGCCGGGAACTGGGCTGTGCTGGAGCTGCCTCTGGAGCAGCATGTGCTGCCCAGCCACCAAGTTCACATCAACGGCGCAGCCAGCTGGCAGCCACCCGAGACCTCTTTTATGTGGGCACAAATGYGGATATTTTAGCAAACCTTTCCTGTGAATCCTTCAGGAATTGGGTACGTTCGAGACGTCCCTCTGCCAGATGCAGCTGGAATTAGCTGGGGGATTCAAACACTGTTAGCAGGGGGAGGCTGCAGCGGGAAGGAGCGCTCAGGCCCATGCACCAGGATCCAACGTCATGTCATTATTAAGCCGGCCTAGAAAGCAAGTGTATTAGTCCCTGCTGAGAAGAAATAYGGGGGGAGAGAAAGAGAGACAGAGAGAGAAACAAACGGGCGGGAAGCTTTCCAGTTCAGGAAGGGGAGTGTCAAGGCTCATTGCAAACATTGCAAGCGCCTTCCTTCCCCACCAGGACAGGGAGTTCTGGTAGCTCAGCTCACGTTCAGCCCGCAAGCCAAAGCCCAGGCGCTTTCTTCTGGACTTTTTTGCAGCCTGGGGCTTGCCAAGGTCTACTCGGAGAAAGCTCATGGCTGCTCTCTGGGCTGCTCTTCCTTCGCCCTCCAAAAGCATGAGCAGATCTGCCAGCAGCTGTTTGAGTGGAGCAAGAAGCCAAAAGGGATGTCTTGTCCGGTGTGAGCACCCTAAAGCTAACATATGATATTTATTAGGGCTCAACCGAAGCTGGTTGACTCTCTCCCCTGTGCTGCAGGAAGGAATTAAATGACATCCTTCCATCTCTCTTCTGGAGCAAATACTGTTTGTGCACTTGTTTCTTTTTCCACTCATTCATAAGGGGCTGTCTGCAGCACAGGGATGGCTGAGCTTGTAAGCTGCACTGATCCCCACGTCCTCTGCAGCTGAGCTGACTGCAAAGGATTGTCTCAGGAGAAACCGCAGGCAAAACTGGACATGGTTCTGATCTTGCAAAACCTCACTGGGTGCTGCAGCATGATCCTGATTGAGCACCGGCTGTTCCAAGTTCAGAYGACTTGGCAACAGTGGCCCTCTACCTTCTAGTCTGGAAGAGGAAGGAAAAATACATCTACCCGAGTCTGCAAAAATTCAGAGACTTAACATTAGCCACACCACCAAGATTTCATTTTTTGAAACTAAATTAAATTGCAGGTTTTCTTGTAAATCCTTATTTCCAGGAAGATGTCGAGTGATATCTTGTTGAGTGGAGAAGAGGAGACTGAGAGGGGATCTGATTAATGTGTGTCAGTTCATGAAGAAGGAACATCGGGAGGAAGGGGCCGAGCTCTTCTCAGTRGCGGCCAGTGACAGGACAAGGGGCAATGGGTGTAAGTTGAACCCCAGGCAGTGCCATCTCCATGGGAGGAGGAACTTCTTTGGTGTGAGGGTGCCCGAGCCCTGGCACAGGCTGCCCAGGGAGGCTGGGGAGGCTCCTTCTCTGGAGGTCTCCAAACCCACCTGGATGCCGCCCTGTGCCCCGTGCCCTGGGTGTCCCTGCTGGAGCAGGAAGGTTGGACTAGGTGATCTATAGCGGTCCCTTCTAACCTTGAACACTCTGTGATTCTGTGAGTGAGTGAAGAAAATGCTGYGAGTAACCCAGCCAGTTAGCTTCAGCAGCCTGGGTTTGTCCTCCTCTTCCAGGCTCAACTGAATCGTATATGGAAGGGATCAGGAGAGGGGAATCATGCATGCAATTCAAAGCCACTTCTTCATATCAGGATCCTTTAGGATATGTAGGATATGTAGGAATGTTAATCACCAGCACTGCACAATCTGATGCAGGGATGCTCTGAAAACCACTGTGCTTTCTGACATTGCTACAGAGCCCTCCGCATGAGGCTGAGCAGTGCACAAGGGCAAGAAGGGCAAGACTTTGCTACCTCTCCACTGTCCCTGGAGTAACAATATCCATCCTCGAGCAGGACAGCTCCTAAGGACACAGCAAAGTCTGAATTGTGGTCAAAGCTAAATGATGTCCAAAACTGATGGACGAGCCAACWTCAGCCTTCTCTATCCTGGGTAGCCATCTCTGGAAACAACCACATTTCCATCACAGGCCATTCTACCATGCTTAGGAAGCTAAACAAAACCATGTGTGACCCTAAAAATCAACAGATGTCATTCCTCTGAGTCACACGGGCAGCGCGAGTGTGAGGACAGAGCAACAGGGAAGACCCCGGCTCATTCGCCTTCCCTCAGTTTGCAGGTTCCCCACCTAATTTCCAGGGCAATGTGCTCAAAACAGCCAGGCTTGGGAGAGGGAAAAAAACGGCTCACCTGGAGCAAACGTGATGCCAGAGATTGGGAGGGATTAGCAGAGATCTGCCACAAGGCACTCCTGTGTGGAGAACCGGATGGTCCTTGTGAATAAGGTCCTGCCGCTGGTGCTGTGTGGGAACTGAGGCTTCGGAGATATTATACCTAAGGAAGAGTCTTAAGGCTTTAGAAGCACGTGAGAGCACACAACATACATGTGCATGAGTGCTCTCATGTACAGCCAGCACGAGATGGGGCAGAGGCAGCCCCAGTCTGCCGGAGGGAGGACAAGGACAGCGGCGATGAGAAGCTCTGCGAGCAGAGGGCATGCTGAGGACAGGGAGGTGGCAGAGAAGGTCCCAGCAGCAAACCTGAACGAATAAACACAGGAGAGGTGAACGGGAACACGCGCTCGGCTGGCAAGCGGGGCACAGATCAAACTATTATTCACCAGTGACGGGAAGAGACACTAAAATAGAAGTTTTTGGAAGGTTCTACAACTATTTGTGAAGTGGGGCCAAATTTGACTAATAGCTCCAGCCAAAAGGGGGGAAATAATTAGAAAAACATTGAAACGCGTCAGTTTGAATTTTTTAATTTTTTTTTCTCTCTAAGTGAAACATTTTGCTTCGGAAATGATGAAACATTTCAGTCGCAGCAGGATTTTGGAGCCTTTGTCCCAATGAAACGGGCGTGTTTATTCGGTTTGTCACTTACTGCCCAAGTTAAATGTCAGAAGGAAATCTCAGCGGGTTTTTTTTCCTTTTTTCTCTCATTTTTTTACAAGCAAAATTACAAGAGATTTTATCCATTGGTACAAGGCATTAGAAGACGCCAGCTAAACGGCCTAAAAGGCTAAAGGGAAGCACCTTTACTGCCCGGATCACCCAAACTACCCTGAAATCACCACGGGACCATCTGGGATTGGCCAGTTGGTACCGGGAAGCACCAGGGCAGCTGCGGGAAGGGTTCAAGGACAGGGATCCCTCTGCAGAGCCTCTCTCCAAACGAGCCAAGGAGCTCTGGGGTCAGCAGGTTTGGGGGAGCAGGTGGCTGCTGGGGGGGGGGATCAGCCCCTGGTGTGAACCCCCACCCTTCGGAGCTCCCTGAAGGGGGGGACAAGTGGGTGCCATCACCCAGGCTCCTGCTCACGAGCGCCGGGAGAAGCCACATCCTGCCGCTTGCACCGCACGGAGCAGCCCCTGCCAAGAAATCGGCCTCTCCCATGACTGATGCTTTGGCTCCTTGTTATTTTAGGGTCTGATGAAAAGACTTGCAGCCTTCTCCAAGCTTTACTAACGACGGGCTGAGCGCAACRGCCAAGCGACTTGGGATCCCACACTGTCCCCTCCCTCCCCGCAGAGAGCCCAGATTTCCTGCAGATTTCTTCCCCTTCAGCGAAAAAAAAAGTGTCCCTAGACACCGGATAGGGTTTTGCAAATCCAGGACTCCTCACAGCGGATCGTTCGTGTCGCTTCCCTCGGGAATTATCTCTCTGCTCACCCCTACCACAGGTGACACAGTACCGACACCAGGCTTTTAATGCCCACGCGCTTCTTTAAGCAAACTGACCGCCTGTCCTAAAACCACCCAGGCCTGGCCCAAATAATGACCTTTCACAAGTCTATTCTCGAGCCAAAGGCTCTAACTTCCTCCTCAACCCGCCAGGAGGGAACTATGGCAAGAGATATTTTAATTTGAGTTCCATTACACCATTGCCTGCGCAAAGGCTAAGGCCTTGGCTAAGGCACTTAGCACCATTTGACAAGCTCGTCCTAAGTCCAAAGCGCCACACGCAAGACTTGGGGAGGTGACGTGCAACGGTGTCCACGGGGTCTGGCGTGGGGTACGGAGCCCCTCTGCGCATCCTCCCAAACCTGGGAGGCGACTGCAGTGTGGTGGTTACGGGAGGAAGGGAACTGGGAGCTGAGGGATGAAACTGGAGAGGGGAAACATTTAAGCTTTAAGCTTGGAAACCGCTTCCTGATAGCGAGATTTATGAGCAATGGGAATAGCCTCCTTTGCAGAAGGCTGGGAGCTCTGTTGCACAGGGCCCTAAAAACAAGGCGGGATAAAAGAATAGCTGATATACATGAGGAATAGATCTCGCTTGGACCCAAAGATGGATAGGACCCAGCTCTAACTCTCCTGCTTATACCCACATGGTAAAAATCTCACACCTGCTGACAYTTGCCCGTGGAGATCATTAACTAGCAGAGGACATCAGGACGGCGCTGCACTGCTGTGAACGACATCAAAGAGATCTGACCAGTCCACATTTCTAGCCCCTCTCCCACCTCGCTGCAGCTGTAGAGGTGACTGCTTAGAGCTGCTACCCAAAACCTCATTTTTCAGCTAACGCCTGGGTGTAGTAGCCAGAACCAGGGGCTTGACACATCCGACTTTTGTTTGGGAGCCTGTGGAAGGTGTATTTTCGTTAATACATGTGTCTTGTTTAACTTGGACGTTAAACTAACTGAACTTTTTCTGACTTGGTTCTCCCTGTATATATATATATATATCACATCTTCCTGTAATCAACCTTTCCCTTTTTCCTGACTTGGCCTTTCCCAGCAAAGTTAATGGGTATCGGCTTTCTTCAGAGCTGCTTTCATGCTGCTGAATGATGTTGAAGTGATAGCTCTGGCGATTTGAACTTGATATTTACCCGTGAAAGCGGTTCAGTTCCAGCAGCCGTGATACAGGCTTCGCAGCAATCTGCTCCCAACCTCGGCAGGACCTGGTCAGGGCAAGGCGTGAAGCAAAAGTTAAAGCACCCACAAGGGGAGCACAGCTCTCAGCACCCAAATTCCCTTTGCTTTACGTTGCCYGTGTCCTCTGCCCTCCCCAGGTGGGCATCAGCTGCTTGGCTAAGCCTCCTCTCCACTTGATCCCCAACCCCACGATGCAGAAACAACTGCGCTGCTGCCGACATGCACAGAGCACAGCTGGACCCAGTCTGGGTGCCCACGGGGCTCCAGCACAACTGGTAAAGCTGGGGGCTTCCTATCCCACTCCCCAAGCCTCTGCCAGGGTCTGCCAGGAGGTTCATTTGAGGCTTGGCCTCATAAACCACCGAGGCAGTGCCCTGAGAAGGGATTAAATGTGAAAGTCTGTGACCTCAGCTGAGTACAGTGAGTCAAAAGCGTTCTGAATTTGGGCTTACTGCCCCGCAAAAACATCACTGAAATCATTTCATTAATCCCCAGGGCCTCATTTCCTTCCTTCCTTCCTTTCCTCCGCCAAGCTGAAGCTTAAAATAGTATTCTGCATTTTTCATATTTCTCTCCAGAACTAATTAATATCCAATCAGCCAAGAGCGCTTCGCCCAGCAGCCTGTCTCCATCATGCAACCTGCCCACCCTTGGCAAAGAGATCGACCAGGCTCAGAGATCCTCCCCAGGCACAGTTCTGCTGGAACATTTGGAGAGAAGTGAGTTAGAGCCCCAGAAAACTGGGAAATGCCAAGGTTTGAGCTCCACATGCAAACTTACCTCTGTCCCACGTGCATGTGGTGCTTGTGCAAAGAAGCACAGGCCACCGCAGTCCTCCAGTGCCGCAGGAGCAGCTGCTCTCCCCCAGCTTCTAGCAGCCCCTAAAGGCAAGAAATAAGTGTTACCTTCTCCCTCTCTACACTGGGACCTACACTGAGCTGCAAGGATGAAACCCAGCGATTTTCAGGGCTCTCGGGTATTTAAAAGACRCTTTTGACATTGCTAAGGCCACTTGGATTCAGTGTTGAGGGAAGGACAGRGAAGAAGACGGAGCACAGGTCTTTTCTCCTATATTCACTCTTTACAGCTACCTGTCTCCTTTGCAGCAGCCCAGGGCAAGCACGAGTCAAATGGCAAGGATGAGCAGGATGACTAAATATCACGTGTAAAAGCAAGAACCTGAGTCTAACTTGACGCTGGAGAGAGAACTGCAGCCAGGAAAGCTCTGAATACATCATCTCCTGAGACATCAAGTCCCCAGAAGGTCTTTCTTGCTGCAGGTCACCAGGTGCCAGGCATGAATTCAGAGGACTATGGACAAAACTCTCCCCATCTCCGGTGTCCATGTCTTGTGGAGCAGGAAGGAGGCTGCAAATGCAGCAAACACAGGAGAAAGATGTGGCAGCTATGGRGCAGAAATCATACAAGTGCAGACCCAACCAAATAGAAGACTCCAGTAAGCGTGAACTCAAACCCATGGACCAAAACCAACATGAGAACATACGTTTGAGCCAGTCTTACTAGCATGATCCCTCCCTTATTCCTGCCTCTGCCCAGCAGCGCCCACACAAGGATCTCAGAGCCATGGTTTACTTCTCAATGACTTAATACCCTGTCAAACACCATTTCCGAAGCCTCCTTGTGGCTTCACCAAGGGAGGCYGAGAAATATGGCAAGAAGAGAGAATTGCAGTGCCCGAGTGGCAGGCAGCAAGACTCAGCCCATGGGAGCGCTCCAAGACCCTGGARCATCCCGGGCAGCTCAAGATTATCCGGACCCACAGCGCAAAGCACACACTTAGTAACGAGTATCACACCCGCTTAATATGGCCTCTTTTCAGTCACTGATAGGACCAGAGGAAACAGCCACAAACTGAGGCACTAAAAGTTCCACCAACCTCTTCTTGACAGTGAGGGTGACAGAGCCCTGGAACAGGCTGCCCAGAGAGGGTGGGGAGCCTCCTGCTCTGGAGATCTTCAACACCCTTGAGTCATCTTCAACACCATCTTGAACGCAATCTTGCCCACGTGCTGCAGGTGACCCTGTGYGTGCAGGGGGTTGGACTAGATGATCCCTAAAGGTCCCTTCCAAACCTTTGCTATGGTTCTATGAATATACACATACATCTTGATATACACACATATAGATATATACATACATAGAAAGTAGTCTCTGTTTCTGCACGTCTCCATCTCTTCCGAGCCTTGCACGCACTAGAAAGAGCCTGGCCAGCACCCCTGAAGGCAAGGGCGCACATTGAAATCACAAGATGGAGGCACATGGGTGGCTTTTCTCTGCCTTTACAGTCACAGACAGCCCTGCTTCCCCTCAGGGGGCACCTTCCTCAACACCCAAGGTCTTGAGGAGCGGCTTGTCCTAGSCAGCAGCTTCAGCGCTCCCTCACGGGGCGCAGCCCGGGAGAGGGCAGAAAATGGCGACACGGGGCAAGGCCCGCAGCGGCCTCGCAAGGACCATCCCGGGACCTGGCGACCCTCCGCGGCACCGGGAAACGGGAATTCGCGCAACGGCGGCAGCGGCAGCACCCCCACCGCCCGGGCCCGCTCCGCCCGCCGCTGTGGGGCCGCTGCGCCGCAGCCCGCCCTCTTATACCCGCCCCGCCCCGCCCGCGTCACGTGGGCCCCGCGCGTCACCGCCGCGTGCGACAACATGGCGGCGGCGGCGGCGGGGGTGGCGCCGGTGCGCGCCCGGTGAG